TATGGATGAGGTATGCAGTGATTGTAATACTTTTTTAAGTCATTGCCTGTAATATATATATATATATATATTTAAAGGAAGTGCACAAGTTGAATTATATTGAAAATTTATAAAATTTTAAACCGCCAAACTGATTGGCATCCATCCGCCAATTCGTCAATCCACTCCATCCACATCCACCAGATTGACGGACGGATGCGGATTGATTTTCTCCAATTCGCCAATATGGCAGACGGATGATAGATTGGAGGTTTCGTGGTCACAATCGATCCACGCTTACCCCTATTGCATGATAGAGTTCACAATAAACTAGTTAAATTAAAAATTAGTTAAAATATTTAGTCATATTTCAAAAAAAAAATCTCTGCAGTAGATTTGTCAAAATACTTGTGAATAGTGACTAACTATTTATTTTTGGCCACTGTTTACTAATTATTTATTTATTTATTTATTTTATTCTTAAATTATATATATATATATATATACATTTCTTCTTTCTCTTTCTCGCATTTTCTATGAATATTCTAAAATAAGATAGCTAAAATAAAAAATATTGTTAAAATGTACATTAAAATATGATTAGCTCAAATAATAAAATAAATTTTAATTAAACATTTAACTAATATTGTTAAAGATGCACTAAAGACTTTTTTTTGGACACGAACATTTTGGTCCCACATCTCCCTCTTTAACGAATGAAGTTTCAATGATATAGCATTTGTGTTGTGGGTTGACTTTTAGCTTTTTAATTTTTGATTATTTTAGTTTGGGGTTTTTTTTTTAAGGTCCCTGGTATTATGATTTTATAGCATAAAGGACATCAAATATTTTTATAATGTCTAAGGTCCCTCAACAATATTTCATAATGTCTAAGGTCCCTCAACCTTGATCCAGAGAAATTTCAGTCCAGAGAAATTTAGTGCAGAAAAATTTCAGTGCAGAGAAATTTCAGTCCAGAGAAAATTGATCCAGAGAAATTTCAGTCCAAATTTCTCTGGAAAATCTAATTATTCTCAGAATTTTATGCAGAGGGAGCCACACATACACCATGCATATTTTTGGTGAATGTTTGTGCACTGATAATCAAGAAATGTCTTTTTTATCTTGAAGAAGTTTACGAATGATTTTTTTTTGTTTCCCCTTCCCTTTTATCACTTGATGCAAGTTCTTCCCAATTCCTAAGAAAAAACAATGTATTGGCTGTAAATTCAAAATTCTTTCTACCATTGTGTTTCGTATACAATTCGTGGCCTTTATATTTCCGCTTCAGTCTTCCATTAATGGGAGAGTTCTACAACTTCTTCAGCGCCGAATCATGACCATTGTCATCATCTCACGTCACAGAGAAAATTGGTCCAGAGAAATTCTGGGAAGAATTTCTCTGGACCAACCCTAATAAAATTTAGTTCAAAAATCAAAGAATTTCTCTGGTTTCAACCTAGAGAAAATTCAATTCAAAAACCAGAGAATTTCTCTGGTTTCAACTTCAAATGAAAAAAAAAAAATTCAATTCACAATTTGGAACCTGGAATGCTTAATTTGAAACCCAGAGAATTTCTCTGGACTAGCATTGCTATTGCTTGTGGTGAACCCAACACAACTGCAATTGTTCCAGCACTTTTCCATACAATCGCTAATGCTTAAGCCCGAATTATCGTCACGGTCACTGGATTCGGCCGAGTTGGAAGTGAAGGCTCGGAGCAATAATGAGATGAAAAGGACTTTTACTTGACTACTTTGCCTCTTGTAGAACACAGAGATGCTGAGGTTTTGAACTCCAGGTTTATCTTCTTGTTCGACATCTTCATCAACCTCTATATCTTTATTATTGGTCATTCAAAATCAAACCAAACCAGAGAAATTTGGGCTACCTAGAAACAAAAAAACAATCATAATTTTCTCTGTGTTTTGAACAAACTAGAGAAAATTTTAATTGTTTTTCTCTATGATTATTTTTCTAAGAAACATTTTATCAAATCAATCAATCGATCAATCTCTCACCAAACCCACAAAAAATAATCTATGAAATCAGAACAAATCTGAAAAAACAACATAATAATCTAGTGAAACAAGAAGAAATCCGGGAAAAACTCGAATTTCCCTAGTTTTGTTTTTGGGGATGTTCAAGTATTTATTGTTTAGAAGGAACCACTAAAGAACAAGAGAGCAGTGAGGAACTCCTAACCCCAGCAATAGAACCCAGAAACGAACTCGAGAGTGCGCCAGATCTGTGATAGAATGCTTCACTTTGTGTAGATATCTTATATCACACATTCCCATATTTCATTGTGAATTCGCAGAATCATAGTTGCAAAAGTGGCAGTATTTGAGTTGTCTGAAATTGTTGGGTCCTCAGTGTAGCCATCACATTGTCCAACAACAACCTCAAAATGAACTTGAGATTATGAAAAAGTAGGGGAGACTCGATGGCCACCACAGAGAGAGAGAGATGAAGCAGGTTTTGGAAAATTTTAGAAGTAGAGTGTTTATAATAATGGGGGAGAAAGAAAGAAGGTTGAGTTTGGGGATCTGGAGGGGTAGAAGAGAGTAGCGAGATTCCGGCGGTGGTGGTGGTGGTGAGAGTGGTGTGAGATGGGTGAGTTTAGGAGTGGGAATGGGGTGAGGGACCTTAGACTACAAAAGAACAGATTGTGGACCTAATCTATTACTAAAAGTTGGATAGGGACCTTAGACCGATTTTCCCGTTAGAGTTAAAAAGTTTTATTTGAGATAAATTTTTTAATATTTTTGACTTTTGTAAGAGAAAAAATAAAATAATTGTGATTTATATGTGACATTTTATTTTATTAATTTTTTAACTTATTTTGTTTTTTTATAACTAAAATAGCCAAAAAAACCTTATGCCAAACGAAGCCGTAAGTTCAAACTATTAGATTATTTGGTCACATTTGGTTTTTAAATTTGGTTTTTAAATTGAAGGAAAATGTATGCACTCCAAATAATCTACCACATGTATATGGAGTTCCTAATATAACTCAAAATTAAATGTTACAAACCTAATTGTTCTGCAAAGGCCCCGTGTAATATGTTTTATTCAATTTTAATTTTGTTTTCTTAATACTCACATAAATCTTGCATGTCTATTTTTTGTTTGGAAAAACAAGAAACAAAAAACGAGACCCTCATGGTTTATTAATATTTGATCGACACTATTGATGTAATATGAAATTTCTCCAAATAAATTTTATATATATTTTTTTTTTGTTGAGAAAAGTAATATTCAGTGTTGTTTTTTTAAAATTAATTAAAGATAAATAATAAATTTTTTAAATATTAATTATAAAAAATTTAAAATTTTTCATGTGTGTAATTATTTTGTGGAACATCTATCGGATTGTAAATTTGAATTTTTTTTTTAAAAGAACGTAGGTACCACCGAACGACCCTGTGTGGGTAGCTGTGCGTTTTTGTGGGAATGAGATATTTCTGGTATGTTTGGTTTGTGTTTTGAGATAAAATTTTTAAAAAATTAGAGAAATAGTTTAAATTTTTTTTTGGTTTATTTGGTTATATATTTTGAAAATAATTTTAGAATTTAAGAATTTAGGATGATTTGATATTTTGTTGTAATTGAGTAAATGTATGTGAGAAAAAAGTGATTGAGAAGGAGAGATGAGAGAGAGAAAAAGTGATTGATTGATGTGTAGGAGAGAGAGAGTAATTTTAGAATTTTTTTTCAAAAAATTTAAACTAAACAAATTTTTTAAAAAAATTTCTCAAAAATTATATTTTGAGATATAAACTAAACAAGCCCGCCACTCTTCAATTCTTGGCCCCACCTCACTCATTAACAGTGGCATAATTTGTGTATAGCTAATGGATTTGAAATAAGCTTCAATTCTCTCTTATTCAAAAAATATGGACTTTTCTTAAGTGTGCAACTTACACCTTACACTTACGCCTTTTCTGTTTGCTGTCCTGTTTCATGTTTACACCTTTCACTTACACCTTTTGTGTTGGTTGCATATAGTGTGCAACCTTAAGGAGTTGCACACCATAACAGGACCCCAAAAAATATATACATTAACACCCCATAATCACTACAAGAAATGTCGCTTTTGACTACCAAAATATTGGTCACCAAAAGTCCAAAATTTGGTTGCCGAAACCATTTAGCGACCAAAATTTTTTGTCGCTAAGCTCGTCGCCTTTACCCTGTCGGCGATAGTATTGGTGACTAAAATTTGTTTGGTCGCCGAAAGTGTACACATTTGGCTACTAATCTTAGTTTAGTCGGCAAAAGGTATGTTTCTGCCACTAAAGTATTGGTCGCCGAATGTGACTTTTGGCTACTAACATTCGTTTGGTCGGCGAATGTGTTACTTTTTGCTACGAAAGAATTAGTCACTAAAAGTTAACATTTGGCTACAAATCCATACTTAGTCGGCAATAGTGACATTTCGGCTACTAATTTTTTAGTCACTAAAAGTTCTACATGAAAATTTTAACCAACTATTCCTTACTTTTTGCTACCAAATGTTTTAGTTGCCAAATGTTTTTGCTACTAAATTATTAGTAGCCAAAAAATTCCAACTATGTATTTGGCTACCAAAATATTTGGTGGTGGCCAAATATTTTCTGTTTTTTTTTTATTTTTTTTTTATTTTCCAAAAAAATTCTAAACAGCCTACATCCATGTTTAATACAACCTGTACGTACATAACCCAGGATTCAATATAATCCATCAACGCTAAATATATTATCAAGCATTCAACAACGTGCATACATTCTAGTTCCAACCATCCAAAACATTAAAAATAAACGTCCAATTCTATATATAATACAAATTCCATACGAACCAAGTCTAATCCAACGTCAATAATTTCATTTCATACATAATACAGGACTAACCGAATTAATTTCCAAAAAGGACATATGTACCACAACATGTCCTAACTTAAACTTGTTTGTCAGAATCTGTCTTTTACATACATATTTTAAGCAGATTATATGAAGGCTTATAAATACTAGATTAGGCACAAGTGCAAAAAAATAGTGAATGTTTCGATTTCTCTCAGCATTATCAAACCAAAGAATCTTTCTGAATCATGGCAGCGCAGCCATCATTGTCCGTTTTGCAGCCTCACGCTTCATCTCTGCTGCTTTGCCACTGCCACGGAAGTACATGTAAACATCCTGCATAATATAAATAAAATGAAAAACTAATAAGATTAATACCAAGTGTCCATGAAAATAAAATTAAAAAAATAGCCATTCAATTCTAGGTAAAACATATTTGGAAGCTACAATTTTAATTAGTATAAACAAGTACCTGCTCCCTCCTCCTATATCAAAATTTGTAACTAATCAAGTGATTATATCAAGTGATATCAAAATTTGTAACTAATCAAGTGATTATATCAAGTGATATCAAAATTTGTAACTAATCAAGTGATTATATCAAGTGATATCAAAATTTGTAACTAATCAAGTGATTATATCAAGTGATATCAAAATTTGTAACTAATCAAGTGATTATATCAAGTGATATCAAAATTTGTAACTAATCAAGTGATTATATCAAGTGATATCAAAATTTGTAACTAATCAAGTGATTATATCAAGTGATATCAAAATTTGTAACTAATCAAGTGATTATATCAAGTGATATCAAAATTTGTAACTAATCAAGTGATTATATCAAGTGATATCAAAATTTGTAACTAATCAAGTGATTATATCAAGTGATATCAAAATTTGTAACTAATCAAGTGATTATATCAAGTGATATCAAAATTTGTAACTAATCAAGTGATTATATCAAGTGATATCAAAATTTGTAACTAATCAAGTGATTATATCAAGTGATATCAAAATTTGTAACTAATCAAGTGATTATATCAAGTGATATCAAAATTTGTAACTAATCAAGTGATTATATCAAGTGATATCAAAATTTGTAACTAATCAAGTGATTATATCAAGTGATATCAAAATTTGTAACTAATCAAGTGATTATATCAAGTGATATCTTTCTTGTTATTTCATCTTTCTTCTTTATTTCTTCAAATACCAAAACAAAAAATATTTTTAGTATTACTTCTTTAAATAAGCATGCACACAAATGAGCACGTACTTCCGATCATCATCTTTGGACTCTAGTTCTTTAATCCACATGCTCTTACAAAAATTTTATCCTGGCTCTCTCTTACAAAAATTTAGTGGTTTTCCACATTTAGTTGTTATGATTTAGGCGGCAGTTTTTTTTTCTTGGAGCAACAACTGCTGTTCAATAATAATTTAAGGATGAATAATAATTTAAGGATGATTGCCTCAAGTTTGGTTTATGAGACTGGAGATACTTTTTTCATGATTATTTTGGTTAAATCACATTATCAATAACATGTATGGTGTTGCTGAAGGTGATGTATTATTTCCCATTTTTGATATAACAGGAGGTACAAAAACTACACCTACCAGATTGGAGGCAGAAATTGTGTGCTTTTACAAATGACTACACCATGATTTATAGTAGCAGAAGCAAAACAATTCCAAACCAATATGAAAGACTCATATAATTTTGATGCCCATATAATTTTGCTAAAATCAGATTTGATAACAAAAACTTAAAGCAAGATTTTTTGATGCAAAACAAATTTGATCGATGCAGTGCTATATCATATGTAAAGCAGCTTAGACCTATAATTCTCTCCTATATTTTTCTCTAATATTACTGTTTCATATGCCTGGATAAATAAGACTATGCACAAGAAGGTACAGTTTCAGCTTGCCAAGCTTCTATGCTGCAGAACTTACATTATTAGATGCACAGAGTTGACCTGGCAATGAAGGCAAATCCTTGTGAACGGGGGCACCCTTTATCATCTTCACTTCACAGTTTCCACCCGATCCGGGTGGGGCTTGGATTTTCCCATCAATTGACAATTCTGGGAAGCCCCAATCTTTAGTTGGGTTGGAGGAATCATAAGTTGACAAGGAGGCCAAGTATTTTGCACTAGGACTCCTCAACTTATACACCTGCCCTGAAAAAAGCAAATTTAAGTCATATCAATTATAGTCATTAACACCAAATTAGGGGAGAGAAGTGAAACAGTGCAAATTGAGAAAAATCAAAATGACTTAAAATTTAAAAATAGAAGTGACAGTAGAACATGTTAGGGGGAAAAAAATTATTATATCAAAAGCACTCAAAAACGCAACCAGATTCTTGTCTAAAAAGCTTCAAAGAGATTAGCAGGGATCCAAAATTTCCCCAAAAGAATCTATTTGGTGCAACACCAAGATGGATGATTAAATTTTTTACCATTTTGCTTCACAATGTAATTCCAGCAGAGAATCCTATGTAGTTCAGGAGTATTATCTTTTAGAATCAGAAGATCTAAATTCTATGACCTTGATTTTTGGCACACCATGTGATAGCAACAAAATGATCGGTCTTCACCAAAAATGATGCTTGATTTAAGGAACTCAATTCAGTTGACATTTACTGGATAATTCTTTAATCCTTTATAGTTCCATTTGGTTGTAACAAGGGAAAGAAATAATTGATATATTACACACCAATAATCACAAAGAAACAGTTGTCAGCATATTTTGCCCACAACAAAATGGACCATTTAGAAAAAATAGAAAAAATCACCTTGAATTAAGTGCATAACCATCAACTTTGTTGTCAAATGAAATAGAGGCAAATAGCAAACCTGACGTAACTCGTACCAAGTCAAGATGCACTTCACATATTGGAGCAGTTTTCAGCAGACCACCACCCGAAGGCATTGAGGGGTGAAGCCTAGCGGATTGTCTCACCAATCGGCCTACCAGCCTGGCAACCTGATTTCAAAACTCTTTCACCAAACAAATTTTTCACACTCAAATCATAATTCCAAAACTCACAAACTCAAAATACAATTCATACTCTCAAATCATATTTACAAAACTCTACCAAACGCAACCTTAGTTTTTTAGACAAGTGGAAGTTGTGTCTAAAAGTTTTAGTTTTCCAGGCAACTAAAAGTGGTCTGCAAATAATGTTTTTTCAAACAACTAAAACTGATCTCTAAAAGTTTGATAATATATATATATATATATTTTGTTTTTCGATTTTGTAACAATTACTCTAAAAATATTAGTTTGAACAGAAACTCATATTCCTTACTTGATTTCTCAACAACCAAACAGAAAATATCAACATATCATTAGATCATTTGTTAATCTCCAAATTAAAATTCAAAAAAAAAAAAAAAAAAAAAAACACCACGCTTGTCGAATTTAAAGAGGCTTAATCAAAAGATATTTCAATAACAAACAAATGCTATGCTCTGATTCATTAGTACGCACTATTTGATTGTATATCATAAACTAATAGAAATTTCAAAAATATCATTTCTAATTTATAAGGCTAGTGCCATAAGCATTGTTTGTAGCATTCAACTATTCAATGAATAGATTGTAAATTGTAATTATATCTACCTACAGAACAGAACAACTCATTCATCACATCTTCTTCTCAAGGGCTTCATTGAAATGTCATTCAAAATCTCACAAAGAGCTCTCAAGCCTTTAAAGTGCACATTTAAATTTCAATCTAACACATCATGACCACAACATTAGCAAGACAATAAGACAAAGTAAAGGATATATAACTAGACAATTCACATATGTACTAAGCTAAACCACATTAAAAACTTCATTTTCTATTTTTGAACTCATCCCTTCTGTGGGAGCCGAATTTGGAGCAGAATCGGAAGTGTACGCTTCCGGAAGGAAGACATTACTCGGCTTTAACCTGCACGATTAAGAGGCTGAGTATAATAAATAGGCCGAGTAACTATTGAACTATGGGGCCGAATAAGTAAGCAGATTGTGAGTGAAAAGTGGACCAGGCCCCGAGGCCCTGGAAACGAGTATAAATAAAGGAACGACAGTCAGAGAAAAGAAGGGTGAGAACTGCTATGCTTAACTTAGAATACAAGTAATCTTAAGTGCATAGACTAACTTGTCCATCGGAGTGCTAATTCCGGCACCCCCGACCGGTGTGTTTATTTATTTTCAGGTGACTAGCTAAGGATCACGAGCGTCCCCTAGGATCGAAGAGTATTTCTAAACCACTTCTCCACAATTGGCGCCATCTGTAGGAATACTCAAATATATCCATGGCAGGCGTAATAGAAGATCCTCCAATAGTCACTGATGAAACCACACAAAGAGACGACCTCACTCCAACAAACATGCTTGGACTGGAGACTATTGCCGCAAGACGTGCCTTGAACTTTGCCTCACCCTTGACTTCGGAGCATGAGACAATGCAGGCGATCATGGAACAAACAAAGCAAAATGAACAGAGGTTGGAGAACATGATAACTGAGAACGAACGTCTTCATGAAGATTTGGCCTTAGAAGTGGCAAAGTCCAAACAAGCTGTACGCCTAAATCCGAAACGATCTCCGAAGGTAGGTGGTCGATGACCTTGAGCCCGACAAGACGACACTGATAGCTACTCTGACTCGTTATCCCCAGAGCCCAAGAAGAAGGGGCGACCTGAAACTACTAGTTCTTCTGAAGAAAGTCCTCGTATAAGGCACAAGCGAAGAAGGAATAGTTCAGACGAAGATCAACACGATCCCTTCGTACGACGGATTGCAAAGGCAGTGCTACCCAAGAAATTCAAAGCATTGTCATTCACCTTTTACGACGGCAAATTAGACCCCACCGAACACATCCGCCACTGCAAGCAAGCCATGACATTGCATGCAGACGACGACGCCCTCATGTGCCGAATATTTCCCAGCAGTTTGGGACCATTGGCTGTCAGGTGGTATTATAAACTGGAGCCGACTTCGATCAAAACCTTCTACCAATTACAGAAATCCTTCAGGGCCAGATTCATCACCAACGAGGTCCAGCCGAAACAAGCTGAATCCCTCTGGGCAATGCAAATCCTGCCAGGAGAAACACTAAGAGCATATTCGGTGCGATATTGGGAATGCTTTAATCTTGTTGATGACACTTGCAACGACCCCATGGCCATCACCGCCTTCAAAATGGGATTACATCCTGATAATGCCCTCCGCAGTTCCTTGACTAGAAGACCCCCCATAACAGTCTGGGGGTTGATGAAGAAAGTAGAGGAATACTGCAAAGTGGAAGATGACGCCTTGCGGGTTAAAGTCGGACATATGGCCAACAAAACGGCCCCTCCTGAAATTGCTCAGCCAATAAGTTCCGTACCACCTCAGAGCCCTGAACCACGACAGCAGGCTAAACGAGACAAGAGACGGGATTCTCGTTGATCAAGCGATCAATGCTCACACCGAGCAAATGAGCAACTGCAAGTTGATAGTAGGCGCACAAAGCGAGCCAACAAGAAATATACGGAGCTGTCAGAGCCAATTAGCTCGGTTATGTCCAAAATCCATCATCTTCCGTTCTTCCAATGACCATCCAAAATGGTGGGACCTCCTGACACGAGAAGGCGGGACAGGCGGTGTGAATATCACAAAGATCACGGTTATGATACGGACAGTTGCTATGCTTTGAAAGACCACCTTGAGGAATTGGTGCAAGATGGTCGGCTCGAGCAACATGTCCGAAAGAGCGCAATCAAAATAGTTGCCCTTCGGTAGAATTCACCTCCGCTCGGTGTCATTCATATGATATACAGCCTTCTAATGCCTCCTATCGTACACGCAATTCAGTCAGCCCCCCAGAAGCAACGCACACCAACGAAACGGCCCCACGAAGCTCTGAGTATTATCTTCGACGATTCTGATCTTATCGGCATAACACTCCCCCACGTTGATCCATTGGTCATTGAACTACACGTAAACCGATTTACCGTTGAACGCGTCCTCATAGACCAAGGGAGCACTTCGGAGGTTATGCATTACGAGACCTTCATCAAACTTGGCTTCAACGAATCAGACCTGTCTCCGGCTCCTTATCCATCATTCGGCTTCATCGCAAATCCAGAGTACCCATTGGGGAAAACCACACTACCCGTTCGAGCGGGCTCCCAAACAATGGATGTGGAATTCTTGGTCATCAAGCTCCTTTCACCGTATAATGTCATCATGGGGCGAACTTGGTTGCATACTATTCAGGCCGTGCCAAGCACCTATCATCAGCTGCTACGTTTCCCGACCGAACACGACATTGAGCAAATCCGTGGTTCCTAGAAATCGGCACAAGCATGTTATCTCCTTTCTGGAAAGACACCAATGGAGTCACAGGTCAACTCCACTGAAATGCCGAATCGAAACAGCCTCGACGATGTCGGACGGCTCCCTTGCGAAAAGCCACAGAAGCCCTAGGCGATACCAGCAGCAGCTTGTTAAGTTGTATAATCAACGCGTTCAGTTGCGCCGCTACACACCGGGAGAGTTGATCCTGAAGGTACTTCCGGATGACAAGAAATCGGCTGATGGAAAATTGGGTCCTAACTGAGACGGCCATTATCAGATAGATTCCATATCGGCTCATAAATATGTCAGGAAGGAGTCTGCCACGACCTTGGAACTCGACGCACTTGCGAAAATTCTATCATTAAACCAGACTTGTGGGGAATGATCCTAGGTCTAAATGATTCGCCATGTACACATTCCACTTTTGTAATGCAAGGATTCTTGTTGAAAAGTTGTAATCCCACCCACTGCGAAATCCAGTTGAAAAGAGTTCTGACGAAAAAAGCCTCCGGATTCGAAGCGCCCTTCGTGGATATTACAATTGGCCAAAAAGTCTCCAGATTCGGAGCCCCATCGGCGCATGATGTTTTTGGGCCGAAAAAGCCTCCGGATTCAGAGCGCCCTTCGTAGATATCACGATTGGCTAAAAAGTCTCCGGATTCGGAGCCCCATCGGCGCATGACGTCTTTGGGTCGAAAAAGCCTCTGGATTCGGATCGCCTTTCGTGGATATCACGATTGGCCAAAGTCTTCGGATTCGGAGCCCCATTGGCGCATGACATCTTTGGGTCAAAAAAAGCTTTTGGATTCGGAGCCCCATTGGCGCATGATGTCTTTGGGCCGAAAAAGCCTCCGGATTCGGAGCGTCCTTCGTGGATATCATGATTGGCCAAAAAGTCTCCGAATTCGGAGCCCCATCGGCTCATGACGTCTTTGGACCGAAAAAGCCTCCTGATTCGGAGCGCCCTTCGTGGATATCACGATCGGCCAAAGTCTCCGGATTCGGAGCCCCATCGGCGCATGACGTCTTTGGGCCGAAAAAATCCTTCGGATTCAGAGCCCCATCGGCACATGATGTCTTTGGGCCGAAAAAGCCTCCGGATTCGGAGCGCCCTTCGTGGATATCACGATTGGCTAAAAAGTCTCTGGATTCGGAGCCCTATCGGCACATGACGTCTTTGGGCCGAAAAAAGCCGCCAGATTCGGAGCCTTATCGGCGCATGACGTCTTTAGACCGAAAAAGCCTCCGGATTCGGAGCCCCATCGGTGCATGACGTCTTTGGACCGAAAAAGCCTCCGAATTTGGAGCCCCATCGGTGCATGACACCCAATTCGGAGCGCCCTTCGTGGATTTCACGATTGGCCAAATAGCCTCTGGATTCGGAGGCCTCTTCGTGGATATCACGATTGGCCAAATAGACTCCGAATTTGGAGCCCCATTGGCACATGACATCCTTGGCCGATAAAGCCTCCAAATTTGGCTGACCAAATAGTGTCCCACCGGGCGACGCTCAAGGGCCAAGTAATATTCCGAATTCGGAGCGCCCTCCAGAGTGAAAAAACATTTACACATCAAAGCAGGGATATGTAAGTTGAGCCGGCACAACTGCATGAACAAAACAAAACGTGCCAACATTCGA